TGCTTTTGGCTGCAAGTATTGTAGCTGTGGTAGCCGTGCTTTTCTCCGAGTTTATCAAGATGACTGCGAAACGGGCTCGGCGTTACTTCAAGAAAGAAACCAGACTGAGAAGACTTCGTGAGCTTGCAAGGCCCGCAGCTGAGGAGGAGCTTGAGCGTTTTCAGCTGGAAGGAGTATCTGCTTGTGAAGTTCCACGGGCAGTGTAATCAGTCTTGGCGTCTGCGTCGGATCCCCTTGTTCATCGGGCTGAGGCAGAGCCTCCAGCGACCCCGTGCCAGCAAAGCTCGTTGCCTGAACTGTAGCCGCGAAGTTCACCCGCAGCGCAAAGTGCCACATCGTCAATGGATGATGATCCTGGCAATCAAAACAATCGAGCAAAACTGTGCAAGATTTGGTCTCTCCTAACGTGCGAGGCTCTGGGAACAGGACTACGAACAGAGCGCGGCGCCCTCAGGATCGCTATGCTCGAAAGTGCCAACAGTCGCAGGCATGCGCGCCCTCACGGTCGCCATGCTTGTAACTGTCGCTTGTAACTTGTGACTGGTCGTGTCTTCGTCGCATGTCGAAAGTGCCAACGCTCGCAGGCATGGGCGCCCTCGGGGTCGCTATGCTCGAAAGTTCCAACAGTCGCAGGCACGGGCGCCCCCAGGGTTGCTATGCTCGTAACCGTCGCGTGTGACTGGTCGTGTCTTCGTTGCATGTCGAAAGTTCCAACAGTAGCAGGCATGGGCGCCCTCGGGGTCGCTGTGCTCGTAACTGCCGCTTGTGACTGGCGTGTTTTCGTCGCATGTCGAAAGTGCCAACAGTCGCAGGCATGGGCGCCCCGGTGGTCGTCATGCTCGCAAGTGCCGTTTGTGTCTGGTCATGTCTTCGTTGCGTGTCGAAAGTGCCAAGTCGCAGGCATGGGCTCCGCTCGGGGCCGCCATTCTCTCAACTCCCCCTGTCTTCCTTGCATGTCGAAAGTTCCAACAACCGCAGGCATCGGCGCCCCCAGGGTCGCTATGCTCGTAGCTGCCGCTTGTGACTGGTCGAGTCTTCGTTGCATGTCAAAAGTGCCAACAGTCGCAGGCACGGGCGTCCTCTCTATGGACGGGACGGGGACCATTGAGTTCACCCAACTCGTGATTGTCCTGGCTTTTGGACCTTGCAGGGGTGAGCCCGTAGGGTCGCCATCGCGGAATGGCATGCAGTGGCGTGGAAGGAGGGGTGTGGAGTCCAAAGTCAAGGGGGATGCAGGGGTGTGGAGCGGAGAGTGGAGTGGAAAGTGGATTGACAAGTTGAGCAAAGAATAGGTGAGAAAGTGGAGAGGGGAATGGAGTGGAGAGTGGCTTGGAAAGTGTAGTGGCGAGATGGGGTTGGGGGAGTGGAGTGGAGAGCGGGCTTGCAACCGGAGAGTGGTGTGGAATGGATTGAAAAGAGAGGTGGACAGTCGAGAGGAGCGTGGGGTGGAAAGCACGGGAATGTTGGGAAGTGGAATCAAGCGTGGTGGGAAAGTAGCGTGGATCTTGCCCGGTTCAAAATTGGTGTCTTTGGGTTTTTATTGGTTTGTTTGTGGAGCCTGCGGAGCTTGTTTTTGCCAGCATGTGCGTGCAAACTTCTGCACATCAGGAGAAGCATCGGCACGAGTGCTGGGAATCTCGGCTCAGCGCAGTGGGCTCGAGTGCAGCTCGGTGCTTCCAGGCCAGCTATTGCAGCGACTTGCCTGCTTCAACAGCAAGGAGGCCGGCTAAAGCCCGACACAGAGCGCCCCCTCCCTCATTGAAAGCTCTCAGCCTCTTCGAACATGCAAGCCAGGTGCAATCAGAAGTGCGGACAAACGTAGCCTTGCTGATTTCCCTCCATGCATTCCTTGTCAATCTAGTGCTGCCCTTGGGCTTCTCTGTGGGTAGGCTTGGTGGCGCAGCCTTCAAAAACCCTCAATCGATTGATTTCTACGATCGGCCATTGAGGCATCGTGCGCTGCAACGGACCCAGCATCCAAGCCAGGAGGATCAGGAGGATTCCGCTTAAGAGATTGATCGTTCATAAATAGCTGTGGATGGGATCTTTCAATGCTAGCTTTTGTTCAAACAAGAAGCGCAAATTTGCTGATACAGTTGCAAGCACGAGGGCAATGATATGCGCACCGGTCGGGCTGACTGAGTTACACTTCAGGAGTCCGTCTTCCGATTTGCCAGCCGTTAGGGCAGAAAGTCGGTGGCACATGGAGCCTTTCAGATGGAAAGTCAGGAGGCACATCCGAGCTCCTGGATTTGATGCAGGAGCCGCTATCACAAAAGGGTGCCTGGCCCCCAGAAATTTTTAGAGAGGAGCTGGCCGTAGCAAAAAGCAGTTTGCAGAAAGGCTCGGCGGCGAGCGAGGCTGCGACAGAGGGCCGGGGAGATTTTTCTGATGCTGAGCCGTAACGACCGTAACGACCGCGACGACAGCCACGAAGTGCCCGAAGTGCTGCCGCGGTGCCCAGCAAAGCTCGCAGCGCTGCTGGCGGTGGCACCGCTGAACGCGTTCGGCATTGGCCCCGAAGGCCAGGACGGCCAGTGCCTGGCTCCCTTGGCCTCGCCAGGAGCTGAGCTGAGCGGAGCCCAGCAGAGTAAACCCAGAGTATCGATTTGTGAGTTTCGTTACAAGCTCTGAGGTATGTGAATCACAGCTGCTTGCCCAACTGCGTTCAGCACATTGCTGGCGGCCGCGTTCGGTTGCTAGCACTCCGTGATATAACGCCTGGCGAGGAGATCACGCAGCTCCTTCGCAGTTGGGCAAAGCGGCAACTTGGAGCGAGCGGGCTTGGAGCCGAGCCGACTTTGCTCTCAGGTTTGCCTACCTTGACCTGGGGCTCCCTTTGGAGGCAAAAAGTCACTTGTGACCTTGTGACCTAGTGGCTGTCACGCTTAGACCAGGACAGGCAACGCCTCATCCGAGCCAGGCACGAAGACACACGAAGTCACAGCCAAAGGGCCAAAGTGCTGATTTCCATTTATTGCCACTGGTGCCACTGTGTCATCTTGCCAGCTGGGACTTCACCTGCAGCTGCAAGCGCTGCAAGTGCTCAAAGGCAGCGCCGGAGGCCCTGATTGCACGCGAATTGAATCTGCCTACTGTGCACAGCTTACACATGCGTCCGTGCATTTGGCCATCTTGGGCTTGCGGCAAGACATAATAGACGAGAGGCGGTCTCCAGTCATCGTTGCAGCAGGTCGAGGCCTTCGATGCCGCACATCTTTGCCTTTGTGGCGCAGTCATCCTCCAGAAAGCAGAGACCTGCCGCTGCGCAGACGATAAGCAGGAACAAGTTCGTGAAACACATCTCTTCATGGCGTAGCATTGCGCGCATTCCGTAACTGCAGCGCAGCACCACTCACACCATTCACCGCAGCCACCCTTGGGCCCAAAGACTCCGGCCTCGGTGGAATTGCATAAGTTTTTGTCTCCCAACCGCCGCTGTAGCCAGCCCCAGCCAGCGCTAGCCAGCAGCTCCTATCGCCAGCCCCTTAGCACTTTTTGCCCCCTTTCTTAGCCTTTGGCAAACTCCGTTCTTGTGCTCAGATGCTCTGGCGGCATGTGACTGTGTCATGCCGCGTTCGTGCCACTCGGTCTTGGCGAAAAAGAAAGCAGCTAGCAGAGCTAGCAGTCCTTTTGCCTTAAGAAAAGGCAGCTGCATGAAAGGCTGCGCTGGCTTCTGCAAGAAGTTCTTGTCCTCGGCTGGTGCTCAAAGCCCAGTGGAAACCCGGAACAATAACTTCAAGCCGTTGTAAGCAGATTGCAAGCCGAGGTGACAGCATGCGCTTTGATGCTCCTTCGGAACTTGAGGCCCCAGAAACTGCTTTGTTTCCTTGTGATCTCCCAAGCCTCCGTGCCAGGATAGACCACGAGGCTGGAAGCTGAACACTTTCAAACGCATTCTGCGAACGCTTGGTGCCCTTGCGAAGTCTTGGCAAAAGCCTTGCAAGGTCAACCTTCAAGGCACAGAAAGCGTAGCTTGGCTGGGTGCAACGGTGGAAGTGGAGGAGCAGCAGGGGAGCAGGGAAGTCCAAAATTTCGATGAGAAGGGACGCAAGGAATTCGAGCACAAGGAGCCTGGAGACTTCGGCTTCGCTGCGAGCTCTGCCACGAACCGCTCGGCCCAGAAGCTCCAGCAGCTCCAGCTGCAGCTCCCAAGTGCTTCAGCTGTTGCCATGCCAATGCAGCAGGGCCGCGAGCCGCCCAAAGAGCAGACGGAAAAGAGGATCTCAAGTGGTGGCAAGGGTCATTTCCATTTCCTTCACAATCTCAGCTCCAAGCGGCCGGGTTGTCGCGGTTGCTGCAACTCCGGACAAGACATCGTTGCACCTCGGCTTCAGCAAACATAGCAGCTGCGCAGCTGCCTCGCAGCTTCCGACTTTAGAGCCCAAGTGATATGTTTCGTTCTGAATCCTAGGAGTGTCTGGATGTCGAGCGCTGTGCGGAACAAGGTCCCAGCAAGGGCAGGCACCTTGCACCCACATTTGAGGGTGCTAGCGGCTAACATTCTGCTTTGCGCTTCAGGTATGCCTTGGTGCTGAGCCACTGGGGCACACCAAACGAAAACATGCTGCAGTCGATAGATAGCATGAAGGCGAATTCTGACATGTGCTTCAAAAATCTAGAAAATCATATTGGCCTTGGCTTGAGGCTGCAGCAGCTGCTGCCAACAATGCGGACATCTTGCTGATCCTGCTCCAAAAGGACAAAGACCGGATCTCGCCATAGCCGTACATCATGAAGCCGTGGCAAACCTGAATGAAGCGTTGTAATACGGCTGATGTGTGACTGAAAAGGTCGAAGATTCAGAAGCTTCTCAGCCGCTGGGAGATCAAGTGCTTTCCCGAGTGTCAGTGTCAACAGGTTTCACAGTCGCAGAATGTCGCAGATGCTAACGGTGCCAATCTTTTTGAAGACTTGTTTGAAGTGAAACCGTCGGGCGGTATCTTTGCTGCCCTTGCTGCAGGCTGAAGGTCGTGGACTGGGACGTTCCGCCCGACTCGATGTTCTATCCCAAGCACGACTGGTGTGGTCACCAGGATTGCAGGATTTTAAGCGGTGCCATTCACTGTTTGAGAAAAGCCACAGGGTCCGACTGTCAACCTAAGAAGAGCGTGGGCCTCTGGGCAGTTTACGCAAGGGTCATCAGGCCCCTTTTGGCTGGGCCAACCATGGCAGGACCTCATCCGGTTGCATGTCCTGGCATTGGATGCATACGATGCCGTGGCTTACTATGCTCAGAGCTAAGCCGTTCACGGAGCTGCACAGAGTTGTCAGAGAGATGCACGTCAGGATGCAGACTGCGAGTTTCAAGGGGACATCACGCCGCTGAGCTCGGAGCGGTTAGGCGAGAAGAGGGAGATCTGAAAGGAACCATTCTCAAGGCCGGTGCTCCGCTGTGCAGCCACGGGGAAGCTGCTGACCACCAATGGCGGCGTCGGCGAGCCTTTGGGACTGCATCCGGCGGCATCCACTTTGTCCACTGGAGCTGTTGGCGTTTTGGTTTCTTCTTGCAGGTCCTTGAACGTGGGCTTCATCGCTGTCAGGACACGTCATGGTCACATGTTCTGCGCAGGGTCCGCGTACCCTTGGGCCCTTGAGGCCGGACCGACGACTGCTGGAGGCTGCAAGAATTTTCGCAAGGAGTAACAACTTCTCTGTGCAGGGGCCTGAGAAATGATTCGACTATTTGAGGCGACATGCAGAGCTGAGCAGACTTGAGTACGGCTGAGAGGCAGCAGGGCTGGGGGAACTCGGGCTGGAAGCCGCCACAGCCCGAGCTCCCGAGCTGGTGCTGAAGGAGTTGCTTTGAGAAAAGTTTCGTCCAGGTGCGGGGGCTATTTTGTTGGAGGAGAGTGTGGCCAAGGCTTCATGTACAGCCTCTTCTATTCAAAGAGTTGGCAGCTAAGTCTGAAGCGTGTGGGGCTGCGAGCAGCCACCCTCACAGCTTTGCAGCTTTGCACCTTTGCAGCGCAGTGCGTGACCGCGAGTTTGAGTCAATGGATTTTCAAGGCCTGTCGGCTCGGCAAGCCTTGCAAGGCTCTGTGATCCTTGCTCTCGCTTTGGGTCATATTCTTCCACCAATCCAACCGCCAGGCGCAGGCGTTTGGCAAAACGGTCCCTTCGAAGCTGCCCATACCTTTCAGACACAGCTGCAAGTGTCGGATGGCATTTCCAAAGCTTTTTCGAGCGGAGGTTCAGATTGACCGCTGCATTTGGAATTACCAAACCAGTTACCAGCTGTAGCCCAAGCACGAAGAAAAGCAAACGAATTAAATTGGCGCCGCTCCAGAAAATGAGGTGTCGAAGCGACTTCAATTGCGCGAGGGTGCGGGTGCATCACAAACCCACCAGGCCTTTCTTGGTGCCAGACTGCCTCTGAAGCTGCTGCATTGTTGCATGGCAGGGAACGCGGCACGGACAAGAATGAGTGCGAAAAGCTGAGATTCAGGGAGAAGCGCAAGGAGCGCAACGAGAGATCTCAGTTGTCCAGCTTTACATGAAAACGGACCTGATGAGAAGTTCCTTAGGAGCTGGCGCGCCAGAGGCGGGAGCAGCACAAGAGAGTAACCTCGTCCCAGGACGTTTTTTCCCTTTTGGAAGAGAGAAGACGTTTTGAACCGTTTTGACTCTCGCTCCGAGTCGCTTCCAGGATCCTGAGCAGAAGCTGCTTCGACACTCGGGCGGTCTATGCGCGGCCTGCTTGGAGCACGTTTCACGTTTCGTCTCCACTGTGTCTCTAGGTCAGGCTGTTTGCCCAGTTTTTTCGTAGGTCTCAGAAGCGAAGCAGGGCCGGGGCACGTTGCCAGCGGCCCAGATTTCAGAAAAGAGAGAGAGGCTCAGAGAGAGGGGGAGTGCGGCTGGGAGGATGCTGCGCAGCTGCAGACTGCAGAAACGGGAGACTGCGCTGGACCTGGTTACCGTGCTGCCTGTGGATGCTGACGACGATGATGACGAGTCGTTGGGCACCGTCCAGCTTCGCCTGGGCCGCTTGGCAGATGCAGCTGGGGCTTCTGAAGTCGCTTCAGGTTTTTTCGTGGCTTTCAGGCCTGCGCTGCGGGTATCCTCAGGGCGAGGACTCAGACGCTGCTCCAGAGGAGCCAAGGGGAGCCAAGGGCCCCCCTTGAAGCCCTGACTGTCACCGCTTGAAGAACTTGCACAAGCTGCACCAAAAGGAGCCACGCCTCCTGCCAGCTGATTGCTCGTCAACGTGCGGTCGCCAGGGCGGCCGGGCGGCCGAGCAGTAGTGCTGTCGGAGTCGAGTTCTCTGAGGCATAACTTCGTATTCAAGAAGCTGAAATCTCAGAAAGGCTTCCTGCTGCAGCATGCCTCCTCAAGGATCGGGGGCTTGCCACAGTGCCACTATGTCCTGTGAGCGGGTGAGGGAGCCAGGAGCTGTGTGCATCCCTTTGAGGGCCAGGAACAGTCGGGCTCTGAGAGTGAACCGCCTCCTTTGACATCTCCGACATTCCGGTTTGACGTCGATATGTCGAAGGCCGAGGGAGGGAACAGAGCTGCTGTTGCATCCCGATTGCTCATCAAGCTTCAATCTCAGACCACCGCATATATTCCCACACCTTGTGAAAGTTCCCAGGTCGCCGTGCACTGACTTTCGAGGCAAAGAGCTGCCAAGGCTTCTGCAAATTGCATGCTGCTTTCGCACAGGAGGTCTCCGAACAGCACGGGAGCTTTGAGGCGCAACTCATTTCTTATTGCCGTGACTTGCCTTCGCTTCAAAACCCAAGACGTTGACCCTTGCTGTAGATCCGGCAACGTCAGTATTCCCCTTGCAGGCGAAAAAAAATCCATAAGCGGAGGAATGACAGGAGGATGCAGAATCTCAGGCGTTGATTCGAAAATGTCAAGAGGAAACATGGCGCCCAAATCAGCACCTCCTTGGGCTTGCACCTCAGGAATTGTGAGGCTGGGAGCTCAAAGAAGGTTCATTAGCCCCCAGCACGTAGGAATCTCAGTGCCCAGAACCTTTGTGCAAGGAATTACTTGTGTGTGCTCGCATGTATAATTTTGCGGTACCCTCTTAGCTGAAGTTGGCTGACGTCATGTAAAGATAAGCAAACAACAAACGGGATTCATCACCAAGGAGCTTGTGTTTTATTAGATAGTAACGACATGCCCCGTAGCGTTTCCTGTTGTTTGACATGTCAGCTGAAGCCGGGTCCCGACGATGGCTGGAGGACACACCGCTGCGTTTGCCCCGTCGGGAGCCGAGGAGATAAAGCCTCACTCACCCCCACCCACTGGCCGGATCAGACGGAAGACCCGGGCCAGGCCACGACTGTGTGTCCTTGCGTTGCCCCCCTCACCTCAGCGTCTTCCGACCAACCTCGCGGCTCGCCTTTGAGCCAAGTCCAAGTCCCCAGCCTTGAGGTGGCCCAGGTGCTCGAGCCGAGATGCTGCCCGCGCCGCCTGCAAGTGCACATCCCATCCCCCTGCCATGTCAAGCACTGCAGTACCCCATTTTCCCAGCTCGCCTGAAGTTGTCCTTAGATTCTTTTCAAAGGAACGCAGGTAGGGCATTAGCGGCCTTGCAGAGCTCTGCGATGGGAGGGGATGGGTCTTCTCACATTTTGGTTCCCCCGACCTTACTTGGACTGTGCGCTTTCGCGAGAATTTGTCCCTCTGCCTTTTGCAGAGCCGAGCCCAGGCCAGTCGCCAGTCAGCCCCGCTGCGGCAGAGTTCTTGGGCCGGCTCGAGTGTCCTTGTGTTGTGGGGTTTTTACAAATGGTGCGCCATCTCAACTGGGTCTCGACTCCCCCAAAAAAAAGGCTTCTGGGAAGGCCGAAGCCCCGGAGCCGAGGTCTTCTCCAGCTCGTGCCGACCTGGATGAACAAGATGGGCATGCTGAGGCGCATGGCAGAATGCCAAGCTGAAGCATATTACAGTCATGAACACTCCATATTTCACGAGCCATTGCCAGGCTTTGGCAATTATGTCCTAGCCCAGCTGGCACTTTGATATATCCAGACGGAATCCAGACCTCCGCAGCACCGCCTTCAGGAAGAGGCTCCTACCTCGAAGTCCTCTCTTTGCAGTGGGCCACTTACCCACTGCAGCTCCTGGGAACGCGAAACCCTTGCCATCTTTAAGTGTTGAAGTCCCTGCGCGGGATCTCCAGTCAGCCAGTCAGCTGAGGCCGCTTTATGTGCACCTGAAATGGGATATCGCCAACTCGGAATTCCCCCGCGAACCCGCAGCCTCCAGCTCAACCGCCGCCTCCCCAGAGGAACGCCCAAGGGGCGTTTCGCTTCCGGGTGAAACCCCACAAAAAGGCCATTGGTACCCGAGCGAGGGTTCAAGTTAAGAGCCCCAAAAGCTAGGCTTTCGAGGGAGGTCGCCAGGGCAGCAGGCTGGCCTTGAGTGACGAGGGAGAAGGCTCCACAAAGGCAGAACCTTGCCCTTCACGACAGGGCTGCCAAGGACACGGTCTTTGGGGAAGCCCTGGACAATAGGGAACCTCACAGGGCTGGGCAGAAAGACGGACGGCAGGTCATCCAAGGCAAGAAACGAGCCGAAGGGCATTTCGCCTCAGGCTCCGATCCTACGGAGGACGCTGTGACCAATGGAGGCAAATGAGCCTCGAAGTTAGCGAGCCCTTGTTCAGGGACCGGACAGCCTATCGCCAGAGATTCCATACACGGCCTTATCCGCCAGGCCGTTCGCCATTTTGGCGAGCAAGGCCCATTGGGGGCCCACTCCTTGCGACTGGCGTGCGTTTGCAATCTGGGCCGCCTTTCATAACGCGGACCGCTTCAAGAGGTACGGCCGGTGGGCGTCTGACTTTTCACGACATCTGGGAAGCCTGCAGGTCGGTCAAAGGTGTGGCAGAGGCGATGGCCCCAGCAGATCTGATGCCGCCTTAAGAGCCGAGGGCCGTTTCGGCCCCGGCTTCTTCTCCTAAAACCGCCAAAAAAAAAGGGTTGGTTGAAGGGGGGCTGGAGCCAGGTGCAGAATCCACCACGGCAAAGCTACCTTGCAAGTTCGCTGCGCGCAAAAAGAGTGACTGTGCGCTGAGGTTTGAGCCGTAGGTTAGGGTAGGCGAAGCCCGAGGTTGCTGCAAGTTTTCATCTGGCACGAAGTGCTGTACCGGTATTGCAGTGCATTGAAAAGGTCGCCAGAACTGCTTCAGCAGATGTTACGGGCAAGTGTGTCTACAGGGCAGCTTGTCTCCAACTGGCAAAGCTTCCTCCTAATCAAGGCGAGAGTGCGCCACGGCTGCGTCACGAAGCTCTTTTTTTCTGCCTGCCGCACGGTGTTCAGTTCGGGCGCCAGTCGAGCTTCACCAAAGCGCCTGGTGGGTTCAAAGTATCCTAGATTCTGTTGCGAAATACGTCATTCTGGTTGTACTTTCCATGTGGACTTTGCAGCGATCCTGCCTTGGATTCTCTGCCCACCCATGTACACCGTCGATATGGCCGATTCTTTAGCTTTGTAACTTGTAGTAACCTTTTAACAAGGTAAGGTAATGCTAAGAGGCTGCAACTTGATGTCAGGGCATCGCCCTGAGGGGGGAGGGCAGGAATTTTGAAGACCCCTTGTAGACACTCGTAATGTATACCAAGTTTTTGAGGGCTAGCCCAGCCTCAGTGCAAGGATGACGCGCACAAAGAAAACAAGCGCGTGAGCATTCCTGTGTGATGTAAAGTTTGCCAAGAAGATGTTCAAGTTTGTCAAGGTTCATGAACGAACCCCGGGCACCTGCAAGAGCTTCAAAGTCACAACATCGTCTTAGCAGCGGCATAAAGTTCTTGATTTCATGGGCCTGCAGGCCCAAAACTTGAAATGGTCCCACACTGGTGACAGCCCACAACCTGACTGGTGCAGAGTTGACATTGTGGCCTTAAGCCACTAGTGTTGGTAAACTGGTAAACGGCTCAGGAGTGGGGGTGTGAGATTTGCTTCGTCAGGTCCCGCAGCCCAGCACAGAGGCACGGTCCCATCAACAAATCCTGATGTTGTTGCTGCAGCATGAGTTCTGGGAGGTGCCGTGCGAATACATGAAGGGAAACCCCCAGAGCGGGCAGCTTAGCATACTTCAATCAGTGCAAAAGCCAGCAAGAGCGTATGTTTGGGGTAAGAATGCTGAGGTCATTAATCTGAAAATGCTTTGGTTCTCGGAGTCTTACTACTCCTTCTCGGGTGTCAGGTTCTTTAAGTTGGCGGCAGGCACCCATGCCCCATGAATGGAAGACGAGGAAGGAGGCACGATCATGCAAAGGACTAGTGGAAGCGGAAGAGTGTCAACCAACGACGTTGCACTTATCACCCGTGTCGCAACTACGACCAGTGGACAGATGTGGAGGCGCCCCAAAAAAGCAACTTGTAAAAGGAGCCTGTACTACCGCTGCAACCCAGGGATTGACGAAGCGTGGCGTGCACACAGCAAGGCTGCACGAGTCCAAGCACTCACAATGAGTTTCTTTGCCCTCCGAAATGTATCGGCCGCGGTTGGGTTCTTCGTGAAGTCAGTCCGAATACACTGCTTTCTTCTTGGTTCAATCCTGAGATCAAGCGAGGGCATAGCGCAAATGTCAGTGTAATATGCTTGCGCCCCAAGTGGCATTGATTCTAGCACCTGTTCGGGCCATGGCCTTTCAAGCAGGCTTTGCTGGGACTGCCCCACCCATGCAGAAACATGCATAAACTGGAGGGACAGCTGCCTGGACCTGTTGCAAGTTTCTGCTTCACGAGCGGGAAAAGCTCTCCAAACCACCACGGTGGATGCAACTTCAGAACGTCCTGTTCAAGCCAATGCCGGACGTTGCTGGGCAAGCAGATTGACCCCGTTCTAAATATCCTCAGTGATATCGTTAGCAGCAACATGGCACGTCATGCCCATGCCCAGTTGACTTCGGTTTGGTGTCCATCCTGCCTTCAAAGCAAATGTTCGGCTCCCCAATCTCCAAGGGCCAAGCTGAATAACAAAGCAGTCTTTCCGCAGTTCCAGCACATGAGGGCAACAAAAAAGAGATGTGGCCACACTTCGAAAAACCATGTCCACGAGCTCTGGCAAGTGTTTCCCATAAAGCTCACGAGGATGGGGATGTCCCGGCTTCATGAAACTTCCCACAGTCTCTGCTCCGTAAGGTGCAAAAAAAAGCAAAAGGTGAGCTGCCGAGCAGATCCTGTCGGCATTAATGGGGCTGACTTCGCATCCTCAAAGCTTTGCTTTGTCTGGGAAATCAGGAATTCTGCATTCCAATTTGGAAGACTACGCTCTTTCTGGGATGGGCCTCCACATCTCTGGTGGTAAGATTGGCATCGTTCATCTTGTGAGCTTGGCCCAGGTTGGAGCAATGCTTTGCTATACAATTTGAAGGGCTGCAGGGCTTCCCCGACCCCCTCGTCTCGTGCACTTTTGCTGACGTTGCCAGGTGCCCAGCTCACTGCTGCTGTTTGAAATGGAGATCATGCTTAGTTGAGTGAACAAGGAGGCATCGTGCATGTAGAGTTCTTGCAGGAGTCAGTGCATGAAAACGACTCTTACTTGCTCGGACGACGGCCCAGCTGGCAAGCAGCAAGCAGCGGACCTCTCGCAGTGGTTTCGGCCAAGTGGAGTACCGATCGAGAAAAGGGCTTCGGCCCTTTAAAAACCATGTGAAGATCTCGCCCTGTAAAACGTGAGGCTTTGACGAGGGAAGGAAGGGAAGGGAAGGAAGGGAAGGAAGGGAAGGGGTAAAAGGGAGAGGAGAAAAATCAGTACTTTGTTGCTGGTGTTGGGCTCGATGCGTCTCAGGCTCGCGGCCGGGGAGGCCCTGCTTGCCCGGTTTAGCGGAAGGCTTCTGGCCCTATCGAGGCGAGGTGCTGAGCTGCTGTGGAGCTGCGCTTTTTTCCTCCTCTCCTTTCTGAGCTTCAGGCAAGACAGCGTGGAGGCATGCAAAATACTTAATAGCAACGCTTTTTCTCTCGCAGCGCATGACTCCTACCCCTGCCAGAATAGAGCTCGGGCAGCGCATTTTGGAGGCTGTTTCGCCACCAGCCGAAACATGTAAATCTTCTTCTTGCTTGTTCCGCCTTGTCCCCCTTTTCCACCCTTGGCATCCCACAAGTAAGGCCCGTGATCTTGGAGGCACGGTTTTTCATAGCTCCTGCATCACCTGCCGTTGTGGCTTGGCTGTGGCTTGGTGTAGCACCTTGCACGTACATTGCACGCACGTTGCACTGGCGCGTTGCAATGGCGCCAGCCAGGAGCAGTGCAATGGCTTCTTCTTGTATGGCTGCCTGTCCACAATTACAGATCACTGAAAGATCCCATTTTGCAATGTGTTGCTGCAGTTTTGTTTGGTTCCAGCTGCGTTCATGCTCAGGTGATGTCACATGGTGCAACAAAGCCTTCAGAGAGACTCCCCCTGCGGCAGCGCAAGACTCGAAACCGGCTCTTGATTCTTCTTGTTGGCGTCCATTTGTTGGGCTTTTCGGAAGCATGCCTTGCTAGGTTGGCTTGTCGTACGGCATTGAGGAGCCTTGCACATGTTGCCAAAATGACCACCCATGTTTTACACTCGAGGAGCGAGACATCTGGAGTGAACTCATCAGTCAGGCGTGATGTTGAGTAGAGGCTTTTTCTTCGAGTGCAGCAGCCTGCCAGAAAATGCTGCGCACGAAGTTGTACGACTGCGGGGGCCCGGCCCAATTTTCGCCTTGCAGTTCGGCATATGGTAGGATAGCTGAGGTTTCATCCCTCCGGAAAGATCGACGCCGATTTCAGGCAAGGCGCCGGGGCCCCGAGCGGACTCTGCAGAAGAAGTCCGAAGAGTCTCCAGTATGTCGACAGTTTTCTTTGATGTGAGGCCCAATGGCACGCGACGCTGCCAGGGAGTGCCTGGAGCCCAGGAAGCACAAAGCCTTCTTTCCGAAGCTGGTCATTCTCCATTGTTTGTCCTCTCAGGGAGGCACGGCCCTGCTACACCAGCAAATACGAGGCCTACAGGATCTGTTTGGGCGCCAAGGCACCCACAGAAGTGAATGCAGCTGAAACAATGCTGAGACGATGCATCCAAGGCTGGCATTGTGGACGGTCGTCGTTACGAGGACCTGCATGCCGCTGGGCTGAGCATGCGGAAGCTTGTGGCGGCTGTAGTGGTTGTAGATGCGGTGCCGTGTCAAGAGCGTGAAGAGTCTGAGGCCCATCTCCTCGGTCTGCCGGCGCTGTCGGTGCATTTGAAGATCGACACCGAGGGAAGCGAGTGGCCCGTCCTGGCTTCGCTCTCCGGCGCAGAGAACAAAGAGCACAAGAAAGGACGAAACGGAGAGAGAGGCACGAAGACCTGAGACATGCTCCGCGGGTTTTGGGGTTCGCCCCAGCAGGGCTCTAGGGTCCTGCACAGCCCATAGAAGAAGAAGAGCGCCTTCGTCGCCCTGCTTGGGGCTTGCCCCAGCAGTGAGAAGAAGAAGAAGAGAGAAGGCTCGGGGCAGTGCTCCGACCCGCCATGGGTTCAGCCGAAGAGGAGAGAGAAGACAAGAGACTCAACGTGAACAAGAAACTTCAAACCCCTGCTTCGTTTGCTCCTGAGGACTGAAACCCCACATGCCCCCCCCCCCCGAGAACAGACCACAAGCAGAGCAACAGATTCGTGTAAAGCACAACGGCACAGCCGCAAAACATCCTGGACTAGAACATGTAGTTATGGCAGAGCAACAGATTCAAGGCTGTTGGCGAGCGAGGACGTGAAGAAGATTCGCACCTTGGATATGGAGGCCCTTTCCGGAACGCGAGAAGAGGTCACTTAGACCAGGCTTAGATGTTTCAGAGGTGCACTTCGGCTGGGGCGCAGTGACTGAGCTCTCGCAGCAGGAGAGGCTCACAAGACATGAAGAGTTCAAGAGCTCCAGCTTCTCTCAGGAGCGCTTGGCCGGACAGGTACGAGATGCATGGAGCGCGACATGATTCGAAGGGGGTGCAAGGGCACAAAGGGATAGGCTTGCCGCCTGCGTCTCTTTTAAAAGGTGGCAACCATGGAGAAGTTGCGGGAGGTTTTCTACTGCACAGGCACCTTGGCACCTGCTCATTCGGCCTTTTTGCATCATCAGAATCTGAAGACGTGCACGCTGACACCATGGCACAGCCATGGCAAAGCATCACACAGCTTCTGATGAGGCTCCACGCTGGAGGTCTACCGGCAGGGATGGAGGCCCTTGCAAGACTGTGAGAAAGGAAATTGCAAAGAGCCAGAGCCCTAAGGAAAACGGATCAACACACGCTTCGCACACAAAAACACACACACAGAGAGCAACCTTGAAAGGTGCTAGCAGAAGCATATTTCTTCATTTCGTCTCTGAGGCCACCTGTCTACTTACAAGGCCTCGACCTTCAGCGACGCTTCAGCGACGCTTCAGCGACTTGAGCCTGCTTTCATCTTTCTCAGGTGGCTTCTCCATGGAGATGTTTGCGGTGAGTTTTGCACGAGCCCCACATTACTCCCTCTTAGGTTTAATACAACAGCCTGCTTGCGAAGCAATTCAATCGCTTTTAACTGCTTCGTCGTGGCCTTGCAGGTGAACAAGGCCATGATCTGATGCTCCCTTTGTACAGCTGGCCCTTGAAGCCAAAAGTGCCAGTAGCTGCCAGCTCCGACGTGCTGCATTCAGGGCATGGCCAACAATGTGATTTTGGCTGATTTCTTTCGGCTTCGAATTAGTGGCTGGCAGCACAAGCTGCACTAGCCTTCGCGAAGGGATCTGCACTCTGATTGTTGTTGCTGACTGCTGGAATCCTACGACGCTCCATACGAGCTTGATTTCGATCCAACATGTGACGGTGCAAAATGTGAGGATTCTCCACCCGAAAGCTTGCTTTTCTTCAACATGCGAGGATGCAGCGGGTGTAGCCAAGCGGCAAGAGTAGCCTTCCTTTCGGATACAGATTACGTCCATGACGCGGGTACTCCAGCTGAGACGGAGAGAGGTGGAGGACGACTGAGGGAGTTTACCTGACTTTTGACTCTGGTGGATTACCATGTAGCTGCGGCGCCAGGATACGCATCATCGGCTACTGTTGCTTCCGGAGGTTGACAGGGTGGCGGTGGGATGTGTGGCGTTGTCCGCCCGATGTTATCCTGCCTTTTCGGAGGTATTACTCAGTAGGACTGTTGACCCGAAAACTTGAGATGGAGTAACGCAACCCAACTCAAGTTGCACAGCCGGGCATATAGGAAAGGTAGGAAATGGTTGAGCCATGCCATGAAGAGGGAGGGAAAGCTTCAATGGGGTCATCAAGACAGCACTGAATGAGGACATGGTCCGATAGAAACGCTTCCATCACGCCAATTTTACTTCTCGCCCCCCGCCCCCCCCGCAACATACTGTAACGTGTCAAGATGGTCAACGATCGACGGGGAGAGAGCGAAGTGGCTAGCGGATCCGGAGTTGTGTCTTCTGCCGATGGCGCGCTTGAGGGCAACCCATCCTCAAATGGCACAGAGACACAGGACGCAGCCGCCCCAACTCGAGGGTGAAATTGAAAAACACCACGTCAGGTATGAGACGTGACACCGTTTTGTGAGTGGGGTCGACACAATGCTCAATCTGAGCCCATTTGCATCCTTTCAAGAACGGACAAGTCTGGCGTAAACGCGCGCCAATCTGAGCCGCCTAGGCAAATTCCCCATTCCTGACAGTGTTTCGTACACTCGGTAG